ACAGTAGAGGTGACAAACAGATTTAAGGACTTAGATCTGATAGACAGAGTGCCTGAAGAACTATGGATGAAGGTTCACAACATTGTACAAGAGGTAGCAACTAAAACCATCCCAAAGAAAAAGAAATTCAGGAAAACAAAATGGCTGAGGAAGGTTTACAAATAGCTGAGGAAAGAAGGGAAGCAAAAGGCACTGGAGAAAGAGAAAGATACACCCAACTGAATGCAGATTCCAGAGAAAAGCCAGAAGAGAAAAGAATGCCTTCTTAAATGAACAGTGTAAAGAAATGGAAGAAAACAATTGAATAGGGAAGACTAGAGATCTTTTCAAGGAAATTGGAGATATGAAGGGAATATTTCATGCAAAGCTGGGCATGATAAAGAACCAAAATGGCAGGGACCTAACAGAGGCGGAAGAGATTAAGAAGAGGTGGCAAGATTACACAGAAGAACTATACAAGAAAGAGCTTAACGTCCCTGATAACCACGATGGGGTGGTCGCTGACCTCGAGCCAGACATCCTGGAATGAGAAGTCAAATGGGCCTTAGGAACTCTTAGCAACAGCGAAGTTAGTTTAGGAGATGGTATTCCAGCTGAACTATCCAAAATCCTAAAAGACTATGCAGTAAAAGTGCTACACTCAATATGCCAGCATTTTTGAACAACTCAGCAGTGGCCTCAGGATTGGAAAAAGTTTACACTCCAATTCCAAAGAATGTTCAAACGCCCACACCATTGCACACATTTCACATGCTAGCAAAGTGATGCTCAAAACCCTACAAGCTGGGCTCCAGCAGTATGTGGACCGAGAACTAGCAGAAGTACAGGCAGGGATTTAAAGAGGCAAAGGAAGCAGAGATCAAATTGCCAACATACGCTGGATCATGGAGAAAGTTAGGGAGTTCCAGAAAAACGTCTACTTCTGCTTCATTGACTATGCTAAAGCCTTTGATTGTGTGGATCACAACCAACTGTGGCAAGTTCTTAGAGAGATGGGGGTCCCAGACCATCCTATTTCTCTCTTGAGAAACCTATATCCAGGTCAAGAAGCAACAGTGAGAACTGGACACAGAACCACTGATTAGTTCAAAATTGAGAAAGGAGTTCAGCAAGGCTGAATACTGTCGCCCTGCCTATTTAACTCATATGCAGAGCACATCATGAGAAAGGCGGGGCTAGATGAATCACCAGTTGGAATTAAGATTGCTGGGAGAAATATCAACAACCTCAGATATGCAGATGATACCACTCTCATGGCAGAAAGTGAAGAGGAACTAAAGAGCCTCTTGATGCGGGTGAAGGAGGAGAGCCCAAAGGTTGGTTTTAAACTCAACATCAAGAAAACTAAGATAATTGTATCTGGTCCTATTACTTCCTGGCAAATAGAAGGGGAAGAAATGGAGGTAGTGAGAGATTTTATTTTCCTGGGCTCCAAGATCACCACAGACGGGGACTGCAGCCAAGAAATTAAAAGGTGCTTGCCCCTGGGGAGGAAAGCAATGGCAAATCTAGACAGCATACTAAAAAGCAGAGACATCACCCTGCCGACAAAAGTGCGTATAGTCAAGGCTATGGTTTTCCCAGTGGCAATGCATGGCTGTGAAACCTGGACCATAAGGAAAGCTGAGTACCGAAGAATTGATGCCTTTGAATTGTGGTGCTGGAGGAGACTCCTGCGAGTCCCTTGGAGCGCAAGGTGATCAAACCGGTCAGTCCTAGAGGAGATCAACCCTGACTGCTCTTTAGAAGGCCACATACTGAAACGGAAGCTCAGATACTGTGGCCCCCTAATGAGAAGGAAGGACTCCCAGGAGAAGACCTTCATGCTAGGAACGATTGATGGCAAAAGGAGAAGGGGACGGCAGAGGATGAGGTGGCTGGACTGGGGTCACTGGGGCAGTCGGTGTGAGCTTGGGTGGACTCCGGGGGATGGTGGAGGACAGGAAGGCCTGGAGGAATGTTATCCATGGGGTCGCAATGGGTCGGATGCAACTTCGCAACGAGCAACAACAACAAATGTTTTTAAGCCAGCATAGTTCTGCTGCCAAAAATCTGCTCGCCTCCCACTTCTTAATCACTGGGATTCACCAGAGCATCTGATGAGGCTTCCACCAATCATGGAAACATAAATGGGCGGCTGTCATACTGGAGTCCTTTCCCCAAACCCCAGAGTGCCACTGCCTTTTAGGGATACATCAGCACCCCGAACCTGAGTGCCCTCCAGAGGAGGCGCACTTCAGCTCCCATCAGCCTCAGTCAATGGTCGGTAATGCTGGGAGTTGTAGTCTGGAAGGGCAACCAGGATGTGATATTGCTGGTTGCATCAAGACTGAATTGATATAGCAGTCATTTTTGTAAAAATCCTATGAAATCAAAGGTTAAATTATGTTGCATTCAATTTAAATTTGGCATTTTGTGGCACCATGAATGACTGGTGCTGCTCTGATAAAGAGGTCTGTAGATACTTTAACTGGCTGGTGTGTAGGGCAATCCATTTTATTTTCTCTTTTCCTCTATTGCTCCTCATTGGACCCAGTCAAGAGCTGGCATTTAACAAAACCATGTTGCACTCCAAAATGCATGGATCCATTAAATGCAGTCCTGGACCTATCTACTCCAAACTAAGTCCATTGAATTCAGTGGAATTATTCCCAGGGACATGTGTGCTGGATTGCAACCCTCACATGAAGCTCCATGTTATTTATTTAAAGATTTACGTAGCATCTTTCTGGATTGTGGCCACACCTGATGGCAAGCAAAACACAAGCATAAACATTACACTGCAATGAGAGGAGATTATAAGAAAGCTTTAACATGCAAAAATAGCAAAACCAAGACATGAATAGTGCATTGTTTCCCGACAGCATGATGTTGATATTATTGGTACTGTACTTCCATTGTGCTTTAAAATCACCTTTCCTGTATGTAGCAGTACAATTCCCATCATCCCTAGCCAACACAGCCACGTCATATGAATTTGCTGAAATATCCATGGTCTGCTTTGTTGTGGCAATACGGCATATGTTCCCTTTCCATTTTTACTCCAGCCTCCTCCTCCACAAATGCCTTCCTGATGTTTCTGGCTAAACTGCCCAACATTCCTGGTTGGGCCTGATGGGAATTGAAGTTCAAAACATCTGGAAGGCACCATGGTGAATGTATTCCACAAACTCCCTTTGAATGCAAGGCATTTGTGAGGAAATGTAGTGGACAAACCAAGCTATGATGAAAGTGAGACATTCTCACCTGCAGAAAACGGTTTGATGGATTACTTTGGGTTGGGCCAGGATGCTGGTCCGGTCCTGCTTCTGATCCCATTTCGGAGGCATCTGTCCAGCTGTTCTTCAGAGGATACAGATTCTGCAGATCTCTTTCAGACCTCAAGGAATTCTTTGCTTAACCACCACTGCTCTGGCCAAAATTCAGATGCACAAAGAAAGAAGCATCATTTTCCCCTTCTCTCATGCAATGCAGTTGGAACTGCATCATGTTTCAATAATTCTGGCTTCTGTCTGGCGTCTGAGTCACCACCCACCTCTTTCCAGAAAACCCCATTCCACCAGCACCCCATTTTCTGGTTTCCCCACAACAGGAACACTTTCAGCTATGCTCAGTGCTTACAAGCAACTCTGCCCTTTTCAGTTGTTTCCCCCACTTTTGTAGGTGTTTTTTAATATTTCCACAAACCGTGAGATTCCCATGAAATGGCTAATGCCCTCGTCTTGTGTATCAAAGGTGCAGCTTTGTATACAAAAGGACAGACCCTCGGCAAACTGAGCTCAGCCTTAAACTGGGAATCAGCAAAATTAACTTAATTGCATGGAACATTAATGGGTTGTTTTAATGGTATTTTCTACCTCCTTTTTCACTGTGCACACCTGTACATGCATAGACACATGGTGCATGGATAATGCTCGGAGGATGGAGTGGCAGTCCAGTCCCAGACTGCCTGGATTGCCTCCGGAAAGGTGCCACTTTAACCCATGCCAGGCATGACCCAGTAAAGTATTCCGTAGTCAGCGATGGGGATACCTTTCCTGACAGATTAGACAATGCTCAGCTAGATGCCCAAATTCTCAGGCATATCCTGAAGCAGCATGCTGATCCAATGGTGCTGCATACGTATAGTCAGTCTAGAATCCTTGCTCCGTACCAAAAAGATATTATTTCTCTCCTCAGTTTTAATTAGTTTGGAGCTGGCTTGTTGCTTCACAGTTGCCCAGGCAATGCTTTTCTTTTTTGCTTTTTGCTTTTCGGTTGTTGCTTTTCAGTTGTTGCTTTTTGCCTTTCCCCTTTTCCTTCTTTTTCATTTTTTTCCTTTTTCCTTTTTTAATTTTTAATTTTTCATTTTTTCCCTTTCCCCTTTTCCCTCTTTTTCCTTTTTCCTTTTTTTTCCTTTTCCCTTTTTTAATTTTTAATTTTTCATTTTTTCCCTTTCCCCTTTTCCCTCTTTTTCATTTTTTCCTTTTCCCTTTTTTAATTTTTAATTTTTCCCTTTCCCCTCTTTTTCATTTTTCATTTTTTCCTTTTCCCTTTTTTAATTTTTAATTTTTTCCCTTTCCCCTCTTTTTCATTTTTCATTTTTCCCTTTCCCTTTTTTAATTTTTAATTTTTTCCCTTTCCCCTTTCCCCTCTTTTTCATTTTTCATTTTTTTCCTTTTCCCTTTTTTAATTTTTAATTTTTTCCCTTTCCCCTTTTCCCTCTTTTTCATTTTTCATTTTTTCCCTTTTCCCCTTTCCCTCTCCCTTTTTTATTCTAGTTGGTTGGGCTAGCAGTACACCCCCCCCCCACCTTGTTTTTAAAAATCTCACTGGTCAGGCAAGAGTGCCCAAGTGTTGCTTTTAAAAAAGCTGTTTATTTGAAGGAGTGGGGCTTGTACTGATGAGGTTTGACACTTTTGCTTGTTTGTTTCTAAGGCTTGATTTGTCAATCACGGCTCCTGTTTTCAGAGGTGGTTCCACGGCAGCCAGAGTCAGAAATCCTTGCCCAGAGATCTACCAGAGATGGAGATCTTCCTGCTATGAGAGGATGCCGATCCATGAGGAAGGCAATCCATTGCTCACAGGTACCATTTCTGCCATCCATGCAAACATCTCCCAGTTGCATTTTCCCTTGATCGCATTTTCAAGCAAAGGTGGAAAGGGTCTGCTCAAAACGGGCAGCAGCTTCCCCTCGATGTCGACCTCAGGCCAGGAGGTGCTGCTTGGCTGGAGGAAGCCCCAGAGGCCCCAACCCCATCCCCTGTTCCTGCTCAGTTCTCCCGACCACCAAACCCTTTCTCTTCTCGGTGGCTTCTCAACTTTCGCATTTCTCCCCCTGTTCTAGAACACCAAAACCCCTTTCCGAAGGCTTAGGAGCCAGTGTTTCAATATGCTGCTCTTTGGTCCCCCCCTGCCGCTTTGCAGCCCGCGCCCCTGAAGAACAGACCTGACCGAAGTCCTGCGGTAGACAGCCCTGATCTAGGTTGCCCAGTGGTCCGATTTGGGATACGGCAGTCACTACTTATGTTCTCACAATCCGACCTTTCTCACTTCTCTTCCTTCCAGGTTCTGTTTCCTTCATTCCCCCCTCCAAAATCAGAGGGTCCCCCTTCCTGCCCCAGGTTCCAACCTGTTCTGATTCTCCCCATGGCTCAATAGAACAGAACTGTGCTAGCGGCAATTGCCGGCTGATTGTGACCACTTCTGTTGCCAGGGGAACACTTGTCTATCCGGCGATGCTCTGAGAATGGACCAGGGACATCGGAGAGAGTGTTGCCTAGTGGTTAAGAGTGCAGTCCTGGGACTTACGCGGTCCCAGCTCTGTTCTCCACTCGGCCACAGAGCCCCCATGGGGGGACTTTATGCCAGTGACAGACTCTCAGTCCATCTTCCTTTTAGGGCTTTCATTGTGGGGATAAGACTGAGAGAAGGAGAACCACAAAAGCTACCTGAGTTCCTTTAAAAAAAGAAACAGGCAGGGCGTCATTCTAATTAATCAGTTAAATGCAATAAGGAGGTTTTCAAAAGAGTCCCATTTTATCTGGCCGAAGGACCACCTGGCACAGGCCAGGAACCGTTTTCCGGATGAGCTCCTGAAAACATCAGCTGAAACCAACGGCCACAATCCATGTCTCAGTCCTTCACACACCCCAGCACCCAGGAGGCAAAGCTGCTCTGCCTGGAGACATTTCCGAGGCACTTCATATTAAAAATGCATTAATGAGTATTTGAAAATTTTGCCTGTCTGCTACAGGGCACCCAACTCAAAGATATCCTCAGAGCAGCAAAAACAGCAGCTGGATTTCAGCGGGATGTTGGAGCCACAGCAAGTGGCAAGTTTTGGTAACGCTGAACTGGGTTTCCCGATCCTGGTTCACACAAAAATTCAAATCAAAGCTCAGCCTTAAAGTGCTCTAAGCTCAGGACCAGATACTGAATTTCTGTGATTAGGAATGTTCCTTAAAGAGCAGTTCTCTCGAAATCAGCTCTGGCTAAGTGAGCAGTATATAAAAGCATTTATAAAATAAATATAAACATAAAATAAGCCATGCACATTTAGACATAATAATGTGAGATGACAGCTGCAAATTAGGGAAGGTGGTATGAACCACACAATAAATTTCAGGCCACTTCAGTCCTGACCATAAACAAGCAGAGAGAGCTCTCTATCGGAAAAGCCTGCTTCTTGGCAAACAAGACACACCCCAATTATAGCAAAAACATATACACATATAGCAAAAACATTTTAAAGAATAAGGCACTGGAGCTGCATTTCCTACAGATAGATTGTGCTTCCCTAAATCATATATCCACACATCTGGGAAACGTGCACCCGACGGGCAGAACTCACACTGACCCTTTCACTTGTTTCTACCTATTTCAGTATTTCCCTGCTTAACAACAAGGCAGAAGCACGTATGAATCTGTTTATTTATTAGATGTATATTCCTCCTGGATTACAAGTCCCATCAGCCTCATCTAGACGGAGGACTGATCACTTATTAGTGCTATAACATGTAAACCCCACGTTTTTCCTCTTACAAAGAGCTTCAAAGCACCTAACATGACGGCTCCCCTTTACTTTCTCTGCACAACAGCCCTGTGAGTTAAGTGGGGGGGACACTCGGACACTGGCCCAAAGGCACCCCGAGATCTTCAACCACTTGCACCACTGGCTCCCCCAACATGTCCAGATGTTGCAATCCTGCAACATCTGGAAGCCACGGTTGCCCTGTCCCCTGGCCTCTGTGCTTTGCTTCTGGGCCTCTGAGAAACTGGACTTTTCATTTCCCTTCCAGGTTCCCAAAAAAGTCTCCACTGGCGCGAATTCTGCAGAACCCCCCTCCCCCCCGTTGCAACCGGCCTGGGTGCGCGGGGAGCGAGCATCCCGACGCGGGCGCATCCGCACGGCTTCCCGAGCGCGGCTGCCTGGTCTCAGCCGCGGCTTACGCTCCGCACATCTTCCCCGTCTGTTTTGCAGTCTTAGCTTAGGCAAGGAGATGGGTGATGCCAGGAGGTGGCCAGCAGGAGGTGATATTGTGATGCTGAAAAAGGGGAGCATGGGGGGGCGCGCGCCAAACACACACACGTACACCCTCGCGCACACCCGCGCGCACACACACACACACGCACGCACACGCACATCACCCAAGCCTTCATATACGGAGTTCGTACACCCGCCAGGACAATAACGCACGGGTGGGATGCAGAAGTGTGAGCTGTCTCCTTCTCTCCCAGCCTCTGGCAATCACCGATCTTGAGGAAGAGGAGAAGGCGAAAGCAGAGATTCAGCTCATTCAGCCAGCAGTCTCCTTCCCTTCTCTTGCACCTTGCAAGGTTGTCCGGCCACCGGGAGAACCGAAGAAGCATCATCAGCTTTGGAAAAATGGAGTAAGCCTCTCTCTCAGTATTTATCCCTTCCGTACTCACTGCCGTTTCATCGCTAGCTCGCACATTTCTAGGTCTGATTTGTTCCGGGTGTTATTCCATCCTCATCTCCGCTGTGGCTGAGTTCCAGAAATTTTGCTCTGTCTTGGCGGGTGTTGCTGGGTACGGGAGATCCAGGGCTCGCCACGGCAGATTTCTCGCACCCCACCCGGGCGGTCTGAAAGTCTCAGCATCCCCACGGAGAGCGGAAAGAGAGAAGGGATGGGCAGCCCATCTCTCTCTTTTCCTCTCTCTCGGCTTTTTTTTACCTGTTGTTGTAAGCTCTGGTATCTTTTCCGTGATGCTTCCGTGCCTCCGTTTGCAGTGACTCAGGCAATTCTGTGAGAGCTGCACTCAGGGTTTCACGCCCCTACCCTACTTTCCTCCAATCCCACACAGATTTAATTTTTCACAAACCTCCTTAGTGCACAAGAGAAATTGGCTTCTAAGGCACAGCATGGTAGGCCTGCTGTAGCCAAAACCCTTCGCTGGGACGGGGTTCCCCAGCCCCAAAAATCTTTCCTTACCTTAAGGCTAAACAAAAGTCATCCATTTGGTTTAGGACAAATAAAGCTTCCTGCAGAAGGCACGGGCAAAGGAACTTCTAGAAGGAAAGGCTCCTGCAGGCGTCCAACCGGCATAAAACAAGGGGTTGAATTCATGGCTCAGCTTCAAATTCGGGTCCCCCAGCACATCTGTGCCAAGGGAAAGGGGATGCTTCTGCCATGCCTTCCTATTTCGCTTGCTGTTCACAAAAAGCAGCTTTCTGTTTGCCCCCATGACTTTTGCCAGGGTATCATCCAGCTGGGGGCCCTTCCAGCTCCAACACAGGACCACAAAGTTGGCAGACTAGCTTAGAATGCCCTTTCGGCGGGTTTGAAATCTTGCCCGGTGGTGTTTCCAATAAAAAGGATTCAAAAGAAAAGGATGTGCAGATTACAACAGTCTTAATAGTAGTTGACCACTCCCTGCCGTTGACCTGGGATTGAAAATGGTGCATGCTCCAAGAAGCTTCCATTAGGAATATCTGGCGCTGGGTACGATCTCTTGGGAAGGCTACCCGGCTGAGCTGTCTTAGCATCGCACGTGCCAGATAGAAAGATTACCTTTCAGTCACAGTTCACTTCCAGTTCGCTGAGTAGCTGCAATCAGTTGGAGTTTGTAAACATTCTGTGGCATGAATAGAAAACATCTTTGGCTCAAATTGGAAGCTTGCTTTAAATTTAAATGCCCCTGCTCTTTGAAATTACAAAATGGGGAAAATAATGTGTTTGCGTTAATTTACTGCAGTTGGAGTCAGGGGTTGAACAAGTTGATTATTAAGTCTATTCAGTTTGATTCACTAAAGGCAGAGTTCCTGCAACTAAACACCAGTATAGGTTTCAAAAGCTTCAGACTGATTTTGAGTCAGTGTTTTTATCCTTTGCGGAGTTGATCGGAGTTGTTTGCAGGTGGGCAAAATTGTTTTCATTCAAATCTTTGCTCTTGTCACCTACATTTCCAGCTTAAAGGTACTGAAAAGTGATTTCAAACCTGCTTTGCCCTGATGCTGGGTCTGTGTATGTGTGGGGGTTATATTTTGGAAAGCAAATTCCCCGGCTTCAGGGGAGTTCTGAATGTATTTCTTCTCAGAGCCGTGCTGAAATTTGCACTGTTGCATCTTATGATTGCAAAATAGTAAAGTTGGAAGGTGCTCAGAAAGGCACCTTCCACAACCCACCGCTCAGTGCAACCTCCAAGTTACAGCATCTCTAACTGTTGGCTGTCCGGTTGCGTCTTGAAGCTCTCCGGTGTTGGAGACTGCACAGCTTCCCTAGATGTTCAGGGCTGCTTCTTAACTTCAATCTGATTTCAAGTGTGTGTGTTTAACCCCTGTCTCCTATCCATTTATCATTTTCTGGTGTTTTGTTTCTTGAACATGCTGTCTGGAAGCCAGAGGTATCCCCCACAAGCAGAATTAAGACTTAAATGATGTATGTTCGTGTGCCAGGATGTGTCCACAGGCTTAGTCAGTCTGTGCATGACCTGGAACTCAAGCCTGGCATGTGAGAAGTTGCGAGAAAATAGCTTTGCTCTGTCCGGGAATGCAATGATCGTGCTAAGCTGCAGTCCCTTTGTGAGGTTCTGCAAGTCTTTCTACACGAAGGACTTGAAGAATCGGGCTACCAGTTAGCTCTACATATTGCCAGATTGTAGCTCTTTTTCAGAATGAATGCAGAATGGCAAAATAAAAATATCTGGAGCTGCTAGTGTAAAGCAGAATTCTTTCCAAATGGTGCTTTTGTGCTTTTGTGGTTGTTGTTTCTTTTAGTGGGGGAACAGCTCTGAAAAAAATGTAATGCATTGTGTTTATTTAAAGTGTATTTAAAGCTGCTTTTCTGTTAAAACGATGTTCGGTTGAAGATTATATGTATTTGTGGCTGATAAGCACACCGAGGCAGGTTTGTTTTACAAAAAGTTCTTCTACCCCTGCAACTCCCACACATCCAGCTGCCCAGTGGTTTGCTTTCATATCGCAAACGCTCAGCGCAAGAGCTACAGGGCGGTGTGTCTTTTCCCATGCAGGCAACATGCCCAGATGTTTTCCATAAAATGTCACAATAGACTCCACATTATGTGCCTTGAAAAGTCGGTTAAGCACATTTACAGAAGGGAAGCAGGTCTTAGACAAATGAATGGAGCCTCCAGGTTCGGAAGCAGTCCACCTCTGAGGGTGAAATGTACTGTAAAGCAAAGCGCTGTAGTTTTCTTGTCTGGCTGGTGGATTATTAATTGAGGTAACAAGGTGATATCAGGAAGCTGGCCCACCAGGAAAAATGTTGCACCTGGTTCTTTTTCCCGTAGCCGTAAGCATCCACTCCTGCTAATGGGTTGTTTTTTCTAAGCCTCTTTGCCATGCTTGGTGTAAGGGGGGTGTTTCTTGTGTGGAAGTCTGCTCTCTCCAAGAAATAGATTCGTGATCTGGGCTTGGAGGTTTCAATTAATAAAAGCATTATTTTGGTTGTGATTTAGGAGAGCTGGTTTTGTCTTTTGTGAAATGAAAATGCAAGTGTGTGCATGTGTTTGGGGGGAAATGATTTCTAACTGTGTGCAGGAAAATATGATTTTGCCTGTACGGGTTTGTGCTGTCTATGCTCCGGATTATTGAGAAATCTCAGCTTCGTTATGCAGAATTTTGATCTGATCCAGACCTTGCGCTCGGTTTAATGGCTAAATGAAACCTCCAAATTGAGAAGCAGTCTCTCTGCATGCTGGGGGTATGTGGGGGGTACGAACCCCAGAGGATGGGCTATTGCTCCCATGTCCTCGTCTAGGATTCCAGTTGGAACAGTGCGTTGGCTGTTGGCATTGCAAGAAACTGGCACAATGGGCCTCATTGAGCCCTACTGCTCATGGGTCTCCCATTTTTTGAGCTAGAGATGGGCAGGTGAAGGCCCAACTCCCTGGGAACTATCCACATGCCTTACTGGCTTTGCCTCTCTACCCAGGACCCCAAGTTTTCCCAATATGAACCTCCTGTCAAATAGAGATCTTGTTTAGTATTTGTTTCTAAATTGGGGAGTTGGCAGGACTCAGGAGGTGAGTGGCAAAATGCTTAATTTTGGCCAGAGAGAAGACCTGATGGAGGAGGAAAGTGTAGTCCACACACCTGCGCAGCTGCAGATAAATCCTCTTCAGTTTTGGGAGCATTTACCGCCTCTGTGGGCAGCGAGATGGGACTCAATGACCTTGCTGTGCTCCTTTTGCCACAGGCTCTAAGAGGCCGAAGGAGAGGCCTGCCGGCTGGCCAGCCTGCTCCAGTGGCAGTACTCACTCGGTTGCTGATCTGGCCAGATTCAAACGCTTCTCTCCATTGCTGAGAGTGCTGAAAAGGCAGGTTTGTGAATGCAAGGTCAGCTTGGGTTACTCTGATCTAGCCTTAGCCAAATTAGATGAGGGTGCTCACAGCCTTCGCCAACCTGGTGTCCTCCAGATGGTGGGGCAACAACTCCCATCATCCACAGCCATTCAGCTGGGGTGATAGCTGTTGTGGTCCAGAATGTCCGGCGGGCACCCGTCTGGGGCAGCGAAAGGCTGGTGTGTGTCCTCTTTACCCAGGTTTGGTTCTGATTTAAAAAGCAACATGATACCTGTCAATTCCTTCTATTTTGTAAATGCTCCTCAGTTACATTCAGTGGTAGAGAACTGCACATGGATTTCTATCTCTCTGAGTCCTCACAAGAACTCTGTGAGGTAGGCCAGGCAGAGTTAAATTGTCAGGCCAGAAGGATTCTCAACATTTTCAGAAGCTTTTGAACCTGCATTTTAACCCATTGCTCTGAATCCTTGCAGTCCTTACAGAAATACAGAAGGTATGCGTTGAGCAAAATTGTGAAAGAAATAAAATAACCTGCATTTTTAACCCCTTGTGCTTCTTTCACAATTTTGCGCAATGCACACCTTCTGCAAGCCGTTTTCCTAATGCGATGCGTTTTTCTGCAAATACGCACATCGTTGTGCCCCAATAGATGCATCCCTTTACAAGTCCATAACGTTCTCCTACATACTCAGAATTAAGGAGGAGGGTTTCTGTCCTAGGAAAATGTAGAGGCCCGTTTCTGTTTAAAAATTATGTACATCCTACGTGTCCAATTCTACTTTGGAAGCATTGTTGAAAATACCTTTTAAAAAAAGCTTTCAAAAAAATATAGTAATAACCTCAGGTAAGTTCTCTGTACCCAGTCGTGTCCACAAATTTTCACAACTGCATGATTCTGTGGCTGAACATGTACCTGTGTCTGTAACATGCCTTTTTTACACACCTAAAGCACAGCTGTAGATCTTAGCCATTTCCAACCTGGTGCCCTCCAGAATCTCGCAGCGTTCTTTGCCAGACTGGCTGGGATAGATGGGTGTTGATGGTTTATTATTTATTAATTCGTTTGTTTATTCAAAGCATCTAGTGCTTGCTCAGACAGGAAAAG